TTTGAAAAGCCATCGAAAGGCACATAGGATCGAACATACTAACAGAGTCACTAATCTATGGCTTCAATCTCCCAATATATCTTACTACCACTCGGTCATCTATCTCTTACAACTCGTTTTGGGCTAACAACTAATAGAATTCACTAGTATAATCATTTATTGATCGAGCCTCCCGTCTCAAATCTTGTAACCATTGGTACATCATTCTCTAATAATTGTAAGGTAAAAAGGCAAGTACGCATGTGCTTTTTCATCTTCTCCTAAGACATAATCTTAGGCTTACCCATTTGGTTTTTGGTCGGCTTCACTGCTCCCACCTGACCCGTTATGCTCTTTCTAAATCCGGTGGCTACTAAGAGCACCCGCTTATCCTCGAAAACATCCTTAAACTCCGAATCTCCTCCACGATCAATAGCCAATCTAGAAACTTTTCTCGCTTGGAGGGTGTCATGAAATTCGAGAATCTCTATCCGCATACCACTTTTCCCACCTCTTATTGTCGAGTTCCCTCATGGGAACTCTTTGTTGCTTGGCTGAAAAGTCTCATCATCCTCATCATCTTCAAGGTCAGTCTCGGCACCTCCTAAAGATGATTTCAATTCGGTTCCTAGTGGCCTCTATCCATGTTCATCGTCGGCGAACCTATCCGTTGTGCCAACGCCCCTCTCTCGCTGTGTCAATCGCTCTATCCTATCATTCATTTACTCAACTCACTCGCTCCAAACACATCACATTAGTTCACTTATATAACTCATCCGTATCTCGCTCTCGTCGTCGCTATCTCCTTAACGGCATGGTCAAGAAAGTGATAACTAGGCTCGATATCAACTAACGTAGTGAAAACTCATAAGAAAAGGATAAATACCATTGATCCGAAGTTCAAATACCGTTCTATTACAACATGTTGAATTGCACATACAAATACTAGGAAATAGACTTCAAACCCGTTGATTTAAAGAATACCAAAAATTAAAAACCGAGATACTCTCTTATAAAAGTTTATTAATCAAGAAAAAGTGATATTTTTCAGCCTAAAAGTCTTACATAAATAGTAAATTTTAATGCAAAACCCTAAAGAAATTTAAAAAGAAAACAAATACTAAAAATCCGAAATTAAATAAGAAAAATCTCGAAAATCACTAAAAATCTCGTAGAAATAGTAAATTATAATTTTGAGGGCCTAAACATCATTTTTTTGCCAAAATCACCCCTACGCCAATGGCAAAGCCGATGAGTTTTGATTTAGGCCCATTTAGTATCAAATTAGGTTCAAAACCCCCCAAAATTAGGCCGAAAACCCCAAATCACGTCACCATCCTCTATCGTACCGCTCCATGAATTTCAAGACCTTATGGTCTACATCACTAAAGAAAATGAAGGGTGTCAACTTTGATTCCTTTGAAATAGGTCTTTTTTTTTTTCTAAATCATATTTCTTTAATCACTTCACATTTTGTATTGCTTTGATTCTAATAAAATCTCAAATAAGGTTTTTTTTTTAACTATTAAACCAAACAATGAGATCATTATTTATCAAGAGAATCAACAATGTTGTTGGCTTTCTATAAGACTAGGGATATGGAAAAAATAGACATTAGCCGAGGAGTCTCTGCTTCATTGATAAACGACCTTATCTTTTATTTTTCAAACATACAAGGTAGAACCAATATTTTCTAAAAAGAAAGGAAAAACTTCGAGGTTGCAAGCTCTCTTTCTCTCTCTTTTTTGGCCCTAGGAAACCACCTAATTAAAAATAGAGAGAGTGTAGGTTATTTTTTCTTTTATTTAATATTTTTTATTTCTTAAAATTATTATTCTAGTAACCACTTAATTAAAAAGGGTTTAAAGATAAATTTTACCCTCATTCTATCGCGATTTGAAAATTTTAAACCCATGGTATCAAATTACGTTATTTGAACTCTAAAGTATTGAAAAATGGGCAAATGTGATCTAAATTGCCCGAGTCTTCGTTAAGTGTAACAATCAACTAAGTTGACCATTACTTGGAATTTCAAAACGACGGACATTCCATTCTTAATTATATTTAAAATAATATTTTTAAAATATTTTTAACACTCCTAATCTTGAACTTTTTTAAAAAAAAAATTTCTTATAAAATATGGTAATATTTTATAAATTATATACAAAAAAAAATTATGAATATTTTTAACCCCCTAATTTTGATTTTTTAAAATTTTTATATATATATATATATATATATATATATATATATATAAGCATAATTAACAATACACAATTTCAAGCCTTGAAAAAACATTTTAATGGTTGACCCCCTAATTTTATAAATTATTTAAAAAAAATTATAAAAAATTTATAATATTTTATAAAAAAAGTTTTTTAAAAAAAGTTTCAAAATTAGGGAGGTTAAAAATATTTATAAAATATTTTTTTATGACTTATAAATAATATTTTATAAGAAATTTTTTTTAAAAAAAGTTCAAGATTAGGGAGTTCAAAATATTTTTAAAGTATTTTAAAAAAACATAATTAATAGCAAAATGTCAAAACGACATCGTTTTAGCATTCCAAGTAACGGTTAATCCAGATTTATCATTACATATAATAAAGATTGGATAATTTGAATCATATTTATCCAATCTCAAATATTTTGAGTTTCAAATTATACTATTTGATATTATAAATCTAAAATTATCAAATCATAATATAATTGATGCAAAATTTGTCATTAAACCAATTAAAAAAATAACATGATTGTCTACATGACAAAAATTACCTCTTTTTGATAAATAAGATTTAAAGTGTCTTATTTAAAAATAAATAAATTTAAAAGTATTCTATTTAGAGAAAAAAAAAAACTCCTGCTTTTATTATGTAGTTGTTGTTGTACACTAGAAATTTTTGGAAAAATTTGTTTACTTCTATTCTAATTCTAGGTGAAAATGTTTGTTACGCCTATCCCAAAGGGGATTTGTTTGTTTCCGGAATTTAAAAAGAGAGTGTGTGGAACTTATTATCTGATAAGATTGCAACTACTTATCACGCCTCCTTTCTTCCGTACATACAATTCTATGCTTGGTGTCTAAATCAATGGAATGATAATAATAATTCATGATTGTTACCTTTGCGGTCAATTTGTAAAAAAGAATGCTCTCTTGAGGACCAGCCACTGCATTCAACAGATTAAGGGCTTATTTAACGCGAGCAAAAAATATATATATATATAACGCGAGCAAAATATATATATATATATATATATATATATTTAAACTTTTATTTTGAAGATGATGTTATAAAAAACTCTAATAATAATTTATAAAATCTTGGTGGATGATTTTCATCATGTAACTATTTATATAATTGTTTTTTTTTAGATAAATGATAGAAAACTAAAAGATATACTAAATCTGAAAAAAAAAAACAAATAAGGCTATCAAAACACAAATTCAAAATTCAAAAAATGATTTTCAAATAGATTGAAATTGAGAAAAGATTTAACCTTTTATAGTCTTCTTATGATTATATAATGCCTATATATATATTCAATAGATTTCTTTAATTAAATAAGTTTGACTCATAATAATTTTAGTTTATTTGATTATTATAAAAAAAGAAATCTACTTCTCTTTATATAACTCATGCTCATCAGACTTTCTAATAAAAAAGAAGAAGAAGGCATGTACTAGTCCCATTCTCATAATTTTTATTTTAATGCAAAAATTTCAAACGGTATCACAAGAAAAGAAAGGTTGATAAAAGAAATTAAAAATAAAAATCAGAATATTGTTGAGTTCAATTGGCTCCAATTCAATGATGCGAGACAGATGCCAATGGTAATTTATATTGATTCCAAAAACCGATAGCTCATGATTTCAGGTTTTACTTACATTAATTGAAAGATTTTCTTCATTGATGAATTTTTTAAAAAAAACAAAATACTTATCAAATTTATTTATAAAAATAAAATTGTTTTAAACTTATTTATTAAAATAAGATAATTTTTTCCTTATAGGCTAAATCTCCTATAAATCAATTTTTTTAATACTAATAATGAGCCATTTAACGCATCAACTTTATTGTTTTTAAAAAAATTATATTATCATCCTAAAGTCTACGTTATCTTTACAATCGGAAAATCTATTTTGTTTTTTCAACGGAAAGACTGTTTTCGATCTGTCATGATTGGTACTAAAAAAGAACAAGTTAGAGTCCACGTTGAGTGGCTGATCATTTCCTAGTTTTCACATAGGAAAAACACAAACTGTTTAGAGAAACATAGAATTCTATAAAGATGGTTTTTTCTCTTGCAGCACTATCATTAGCACCTATTACTCTCGACCTCCCTAAAGAATGCCCAAATCTTCATTTTCGAAAACTTAGCAAAATGTCACCAATTCAATGTTCTTTATCAGTTTCAACCCAATCAAAAACACAACCTGTGTAAATTATCTCTCTCAGAACTACGATCATTTTATCACCAAATATATGTGACAAAAGAAACAGAGTTGATTAGTGATCGGCGCTTGCTACTTCTAGCCTCCAAAACTCAGCTTGTTGTACCAAATATTGGCATTCACCGTAGCAAATGAGTAAATGGTCTCTGCTGTGCATAGGTGATTAAAGTTTAGCATCCATGAAACAGTGTGCAAAGCTAGACATTGAAGTAATGCATTTTTGCTGTAAAATTTATGTAATTGTGGGGTGTAGTTTACCGATATTAGTGTCTTTTTTCTTTTTAAACAGGCTTAAGAGTTTTAAAGCTTCATGTAATTATATTCAGTGTATCTTTGACAAATCACTTTTGACTTTTTTGAGGAATGGAGATTCAGTATTGATAAAAAAAGAAATAAGAGCTCGGCCACCCCTGCGTCATCTTTGAATCAGATGACTGTGATAGACCCTTCAATCATGATGGGGCAATTTTTCTCATTGCTCTTAAAGATAAACCTGCCAAGCATCGAAATTGGCGACTACTATGGAGGGATAATGTTCTCCCACTAGACTATTATAGCGTTCATTTATTTACAATTCGCCTTTCTCATAAGAAAACCGCATTGCAGTAGGGAAGGCAGCAAGACGATTACCACCAAAGAGCTCACAAAAAGCAACACACATAACAGGAGGAGCTCTTTTAGCACCTTTAGCAAGAACAGAATACCTCATGGCTTCATAAATCTTATCTAGATACTCAATAGGAACGACTTGGTCTAGTTTCTGATTGATTTCTTGAATCAAGGTTGTCCAATAAGTTTTTAAATCAAACTGGGGTGTTTTTGATTGGGTTGAAACTGATAAAGAACATTTAATTGGTGACATTTTGCTAAGTTTTCGAGAATGAAGATTTGGGCATTTTTTAGGGAGGTAGAGAGTAATAGGTGCTGATGGTAGTGTTGCAAGGGAAAAAACCATCTTTACAGAATTCTATGTTTCTCTAACAGCCAAGAGTTTGTGTTTTTCCTATGTGAAAACTAGGAAATGCTCAGCCACTTAATTAATTATCTTCTTTACATTCCTTACACTTTTCAATAAGATTTTTTTTTTTTTTTATCAGCTTTCGTTAACAAAACTAATAAAAAATTACCTTTACATTTTATAAACTTCAATTTTACCTAAAACAAATACAGAAGTTTATCATTTAACTCCTTTAAAAAAAGATTATTATGTGATTCATCTTAAAGATGCATATAAAAATTTTGATTTTTAAAAGAAAATTCACTTGATCTATCATTCTGCCTTATCTATCTCTCTTTCTCAATATATATATATATACACACATGTGGTAAGAAATTGAAGTTTACATAATAAAAACACATTTTTATTAACATTATTGTTAATAGAGAATAAGTAGATGAAAAGTCATAACAATAATTGATAAATAATTACAATTTTTTCTTGCCTTTTGGGGGATATAATTAGAAGTTAGAACAAACATATGGACCCACAAATGGACTCAAATTAATTGCCTAAATGGGCCATCGTAGTTTTGATAACCTGCCGAGGATCATAGGCCGGCCTAGCCTCAAACTAACTCCACTTCCTACTTTTGATTTTTTTTTTTGGTTCGACCTTTAGGAATATTTTTACATTAGTTTATCCATTAATTGAAATTAACTTTTTTTCCAAATAATTTTAAATATATATTTTTATATAAAATTGACATATTTAGAAGAATAATTTTTTTAGATATTGAACTAATGCTGAATCAACAAGTAAAAAAAAAAAAAAGCAAATCTTTTTAACCACCTACTTCACCTCATAAGACTTGATACTATATGTTGTTATTATTATTATTATTATGAACATTATATACTTTCATCTATTTATCATTGTAAAGATAATGGTAGAATAGGCTCCACATTTTGTTTTCTCTCGTCGTTGATATATATGCACGAGTATATATATATATATTTCATTTTTTGGTGAAAGTTCTTAGGAAATTGTTCCACTTAATTTGAATCTCAACATATAAGTCATATAGATGCATGAGGTCAACTTTCAAATGAGAGAAAGAAGTACCTACGAATTGTCAAAATACGGAAAAAAAAAAAAAAAAGGTTTGTGGCTGACTTTTCACCAAATTCCAATTAGTTTGGCTCAACTTCACATCAATTTTGCAATAATTTAACTAGTAGTGGATCTCAAGTTTAATTTACAGTTACCCTAATGTAATTTTGTGGTCCCTGCACAAGATTTCATGCAATTTTGTGGCCCATCTCAGAGGGGATTACTTCATGCTTTATTATCATGGATTTCGAGGTACTGACATTTTCAACTGGAAAAAGACATCTATAATTGAAACGGACCAATGCTCCTATGATAGTGATGCGAGGATTTGAAGATGCTGCATGGGTTTGGTTTTTAGAGCTGAAATCTTAAAGATGGGGGATTAAAGTTGATTAATTTGTTAAAGAAGGATTTGGGTGAAAAAAATTCCAACTCATTACAATTCAGTTAATTGGTGTTCGTGTTCGTGTGTGTGTGATGCACATGGAAAGAATAAATGAGGGGGCGTGACTGACATGTGGGGGAAGGGTATGCTTATTGGGATGACTTGGCAAAATCAGTTAGTTAGTTAAAGTTGTTTGTTTGAACAAGAATTGCTGTATAAATCAAAGGGGAAAATCCTCTTGATCTTTATTCTGCACATTTTGCCATTCTTTCTTGTTTTCTTATCTTTAATTTCTTTTCGAACGATAATTCTTGTAACTAAATTGTTTTTTAATAAAAGTTCATTGATTTCATAAATCATTTTCGTCTTGATTGATTGAAATCTAATCTTAATTTTTGAATTGATATAGAATTTACATTTCATTTTGAATTCTAGGACTAGAATTTTGAATTGCATTAATTGATAATAGAGCAACGGTTCTCACGTGTGGAGAGGTGTGATTGAGTTAACAATGACCAAAGGAAATAGTGATCTAAAAAAGGTTGAAAACCCCATAGAATCTCTCACCTAGGTAATTTTCGATATCACTCGGAAAATATAATAATGTGTTTGTACAACATAATCGAGAGATTAGTGAGCTTAAAGAACTTGTTAAGGTTCATAAGAATCTTTTTGTTGATGAGGGAGTATCAAGCCACTATTGCAAGTCAAGTTAAAGAGAAAAGGCAAAAAGACACCGAAAAGAGAAGGACAAAAGCCGCAACATACTAATGTAGATAAGTCCTATTTAATCACTTAGTCTTACTCATTAAGTCGTGTTGTAATTAGTTTCATCCGTACTAAAAGAATGTAATGAGAAATATAAATCCATATGAGTCATCGCCATTATCATATACAATAGAAGACTTTCATTGAAATATTGTTTTAATTATTTAATTTGGTAACGAGCTAGTTTTTTTTGCAAAATTGCACCATTGGCCTCTAGTAGTTTAAACTTTTCTACCACTAACAAAAACCAAAATCTCATGGATACTACTTCCTCCCAAAACTTAACAAATCGCATCATTCAGTCTCACCAATGCTTATCATTTTATTTCTCTCAAACTAACTTCAACGAGTACCTTTTTCTAATGTATTCATATGAGACTTTTTTTTATTAGGACAATGCTTTTTGGGTTCGTCACCCGAGTTACTTCTTGACGATCACAAAAAATAAAAATAAAATAAACTATATATGTGTGGAGTCGCTACTTAATTTTCAAAATGTGAACACTAAGAAATACCTAGCATTGGTCGTAAGAATTCTAAGTAAGGGTGTTGATTACACAACTGGAGAAGACTACGATTACCTAAGTGTGTCATTGATGTGAGGTTATTTTGTATTTCTAGGTTAGGAGAATTCATTCATGCAAATTACTTTTTTTATGTTGATTTACGTGTTCAATTATTTAGGATTTTTTCTAATCGATCGTAAATGAGATGATTTGGAGACCGAAAGAAGACTCGGTCTCTCACCTAAAATATCATTAGGCCATTGAAGCTCATTTGAGAAGATAAAAATTAGAGCTAAAAGCCAATGATAAATTAAATCCTAATCCCATATAAAAATGCAAAAATAAAAATAAAATGAACATGGACTATGGACCCAAGTTCACCAACCAAACCATGATAACAACAACAACAACAACAATAACAACAACAACAATAATAATAACAAGTCCCTAATGATATGAAAAAATAAAATAAAATAGACATAGGCTTCAAACCCATATCACCCTATATGTCACCTTAAAATATTAAATTGGGCCCAAAGCCCAAATTCGGAGCTAAATCTGCTAGAAGAAGAAATTAGTAACAAAAAATAAAAAATTCCAACCATATAAACAATAAAATAAAATAAAATAATAGTAAGAAAAAAATAGCTCATCGTTGAAACAAAGTCGATTTCAAGTCCTAAACCTAGTCCATCTAGACTAACTTAGACTCGACATCACATAATAAAATAAACATATAGAGTATAAAACATAAAAACATGTAAAAAAATCACAGATCACATAAAAAAGACTTCACAAAAAATAAAATAGCCAATAGGCCTTCACAAGGTCCTTGGCTAATAAATTCAAATTTGGCTTATTTTAATTTTCTAAAAAATTGCTGGCCTAGTACTAACTTCATCATCGACCGACAGTTCATCAAGGACTTTTATAGAAAATAAAAATAATGTATAATCAAGTCATTACCCTTAACCTCTTTTTTTTTTAAAAAAAAAACAACAATAATAATATATATAAATAAATAAAAATATTAAATACTCTCTCGCCTAATAAAAATCACATTTTATCACATATACACATCAATTGATTTAAATTGTAATTCTTTTAAATCTATCAAATAACATCAAGAATTCTCAATTTAAATCTTTTTAATTAAGCCTAAATTAAACAATTTTAATTTAATTAATCATCTCAATCCTATGTTAATCACATAATACACACTCGTAGAATATAAATCAATAACATAAACATGAAATTCATAAAATTTTAGGTGAAAATTAAACAAAAAATGTTGAAGCATAAGGGTATAATTGTAAAATAAAAAGTTTAAAGCCTAAATTTAATACAAGTAAAAGAAAAAGAAGGAGATAGACCTAACGCCTATGGAGCGTGCTCGTGGCATTGTCTAGGCTACTCATGCCCGTGAGGGATCATCAAACGTCCGATAGACGGTGGGCTAGTGGAGTTGGCTTCGTCTCTTCTTTTCGATCACGGTGGTATGGCGCGTTTTTGATTCCGTCAACTCGAGGAGGAGCAACATCACTCGTGAACTTTGGCGATCGTCTTTGGCTATTTGGGTGTATGTCATTCTTTTTAGGTTTTTTTTTTATGCTAAGTTTTTTTATTTTTTTCTCTCCTGCGTGGCTATCTCGTTCCCTTTTTTTTTTTTATTTAACGTGTGTGTGTTGTATTTATAAGGGTGCTTCTAAGGTTAACTTAGAATTTTTTTTCATATTCTAATTTTTTTCTTTTATTATTAATCGAGCCTAATCCAATGCCTAATACCTAGGCCAATACTAATTTACATCCAGTTCTCTCATTTTTATTCTATTTTTTCTCTTTTTTTCTTTTGAATTTTTTGAATTTTTTTATAGGAGTAAAAATAGGATGATGACAATCATATCCTTTTTACAATGCTTATGTGTCAAAGATGTAAGAAGATGAGTCTTCATACATCTTGATTTAGTAGCTTGTATAGAATAAATATGGTTGCGAAGAGAATGGATGAAAGAAATCAAAGAAACAAACCTCTTACATGTGACTTGATTTTAGAAATGAATCAAATATACAAACCTTCTTAAGGTGAAACAATCAAATGTACGATCCCTATTGGAGAGATTTGACTTTTAAAAAAAAATCAATCAAATATACAA